GTAAATAGTCTTTTGTCTTTCTTTAATACCTCTTACTACTGTGGCAAGTCCTCCTTCAAACAAATCTGGCTCAACCCTAAGCTCTATGCGTACAGCTGGATCATCCCTTCGACCAGAAAACAATTTTCTCTTGATTTCCCGATATAATTGTTCATGGAATATTTCTTGTCTATCTCCAATTGAATCTGCGGAAGGTATATTCAGCTTTTCATGACGAACAGAGGGAAAGCTTGCTCCATCTCCAAAAGATTTCCACTCGTCATACTTTGTACTATACCCAACATAGTGGATTTTTATTCGCTTCTTTGACTTATCTACCTCAGTTACTACCACGTCATAAAGATTATTGTCTTTCTTTGACGATTTTCTTTGCTTTGAAGCAAAATCCGAGGAAAATTCCTGCATATACCTCGCTGGAAATTTTGACCCACGTTTTACACGAGTCGTATCCGCCATTTTGAAAATCCATATATGGGATTGATTCGCATGCGCAGTACATTAAAATGTGTCCGCGTAGGCCTAGGCGCTAAAAAGAGCAAATGTTCATAAATGTATGGAATAAGTTTGATATGGGGTACGTGCCGCCAAACAGGGTATGGTTTTCAGCGATTCTACTCTGGAACAGGAGGGTATATGAAATGACGCTCTCTCCTCTCTGGAACAGAGTATCCATTTTCGCAATACCGGAATAGGTTATGATTTTCAGCGATCTTGCTCTGGAACAGGGTATGAATTTCAGCGATTTTACTCTGGAACAGGGTCAGACTGAGCTCAGTAGGCTCAGCGGCACATCCCTACCCTAAACGGGCAAGAGTACCCCCCCCCCCCGGGGGGGTTTTCTCTTCGGGTTCTCCGGTTTTTCTCCTTCAACAAACCTAACAAAGCTAAATTTTAATTTCCATCTGTGATTTAGCCGTGTCGTGAGTTTGATCAGCCCAGAGGTTGTTTCAGGGTTCGATCTATGAGTAGTAGCCGTGGCCTGACTGTGATCAGCCCAGAAATTCACAGCTTCGGCCCAGAGGAAAGATACTACCCTTGATTCTCTCTGCTTCTGCAAATTTGACGAAGTGCTCCACGCAATATAGAGCAATTTCATTGTCGCACGTGTTTATTACAGTCACATAAATTTAGAAGGAATGACCAAATCAGAAAACGTAAGATTTTTGCGTAACGTAACATTAATTTTTTTAATTAATTATCTTCATTATTTATATATTTCATATTATTAATTCTAATAATATATATATAATATATCTAATTAATAYATAAAAATAGATATTAGATATAGATTTTTTTAAATCTAAATTTATATTTTATATTTTATTATTTTATATATGTTTTTTGTTTTGTTTTTTTATTTTTCTACTCATTTTCTTGCGAGTTGTAGACCAAATATCTCATAGTTGTTTTGGCTAAGAACATCATGTCATTAACAACATTGCTTGGAAACATGGAAATTATTTTTTTGCACGCAGCGTTATGAAGAAGTATCTTCCTGCTCCCGCAACGTTGATTAGACAAATACCAAGAAAATGTTTTCGCTTCTTCGAACCGCTTATATCTCTTCAAAATGAACGCCGGTGATGACATTTTTTTCATATATCATAGGGATATTAAAGATGTGCATTCTTTTGTTGTTTTTTTAAAAAAAAACTATGACCTTTATTTATGGCACCGAAACTCAATATTTTCTCGACCCAAGAGAACGGAAAAAAGCGATAGATTTGTGCTTTGTTTTTCCCTTTAAAAAAAGAGTGTTAGTTTTAATGACTCAAAAAAAGAAAAAGAAAAGTTTTTAAAACAAATCTTTAGTTACAAATTTGTTTGTAATTATATTTGTTACTGGAATTATTTCAGTTTTGATTCCGCCACTGATGATTCGACTCGTCGAAAAAATAAGAACTCGGGAAAAATAAATGAATTTTAATGGTTATATTTGTTGTACACAAGGAATTCAATCGTGTGAATTCAAGATGCAGGTAAAATCCACTATACAGTACATAAGACAAAAGCGCTAGAAACGATATTGTGCTGTATTTTTGCTTATTCCCATTCTCTTGTATAATATAGCACACTTTCTTGGCCTAAACTACAAAAAAAAAAAAAATCAATCAAGGGAATTTTTTCCTCATTTTAGTTTTGTCTTATGCTTTTTTCTCTAATGGGCTCCCTGTGGTTTGAGAGTGGCACCTTTGTCTGCTTTCTCAAAGAGCTCATGAAAAAAACAGAGAAGACAATTCATCTACAGGAAAGTAAAAAAAAAAACACAGAAATAATTTTGCATTGACTAATGTTTATATAAACTATGCAAAAAATATATATAACTTCGAATTGAAATTAGAAGTTGGCTGAGTTAATGTAAGAATAATATTATCAGAAAGGTTTGAGAGTGGCACCTTTGTCAAGGAAGAGCTGACTGAAAGAGCAGAGAATAAAATTTATCTACAGAAAGAAATAACAGAAATATCAAATTTTGCATTGTACTAATGTTTATATAGAGTATGCAAAAAGCATACGAAACTTCGGAATTAGAAGTTAGTTGTGTGAATGTAAGGATAAGCCTAGAAAATAATTCTTACCATAAAAATATATTGACTTGAAGCTCACTTGATCATGAACACTCAGTAGTGGTTTGAAGGCACTTTTTTCAGTCTTTTACCTAAAATGTGAATTGAAATAATTACATGGACCACTGCTGAATACTATGAAGTCAACTTTGTGGTATTCAGTTCAAAACAAAACTTTTTTTCGCGACGAATATTCATCGTGCATTTACTTTTGATGTTTTGCTTTGTTGACCGATTGCTGACAAGCTATAAATACAGCGACTCATCCACAGGGAACCCAAGATTAACAATGAGCATAGACCCCTTTTTGCGACGTATTTCCGGTTCTAATCATTCTTCGCCTGCAGCAATAAGATATTATAATTTCTATTTCATAAAAGAAATAAATTAAATTTTGATTGCTGTGCTGTGCTGTGTGCATTAATAAAGCACTTGGGAATTGCCAGAACACTCAAAAAATGATGAGAATGTGTGGTTCTCGTGACGCTTCTCTCTTGTTCTGCCAACCCCCGTGTGCTTTATAGGACTTTTTAATAAATTCCACAATGCTTTATTTTCCACGTTTGATGTCAAAATTATTCTTCTATTATTCTATTCAATTTTTAAAAATTCAAAAAAATAAATTTGGCTTCAAACGCGAAAAATAAAGTATTGTGGGATGATTTAATAAAAGGGTCCATAACTGCACGCAACACGTATATGCATGTTTTCCATTTCTTCGTTGTAAATACGTCAGTGAATTAGAGCTGTAAATTAGATAAAAGATAACATTTAAATCTTTCATTTTAGAGGGTTCTTTGGATGTTCGCAGTGGAACAAAGTTAATGATAAACACTACCTCACTTACTGCCACTCTAGAGGGTAAAAGTATTGTTCTTGGTAATCGTACAGGCATAGCAGTCTTCGATGGTGTTGAATATCGAAACCATGTGGTAGAGCTGAAGTACATGGGAAATATTACTTTCCACAAGAATTCTGAAATAATCATTGAAGGCACGCAACCCTTATCCATCCAAAGTAGCTATGGTAACATCACCATAGCAACTAACTTATCAGTGACGTGTAAGGAAAAGCCTTATGCGGGTGATACATGTCTAGGAGGGTACATGCTCAACTACACAAAACCCAAAGATTGTAAAAACATTTTTAGAGGTAGGAATTTACGGATGACGGCAGGCGTTTTCAAATGGAATCTTAAAGCTATGGTATAACGTTTTCCCATTTCAGGCCATGTGTCATTCCTTAGAGTATCATTACTTATAACTTATCATTTCTTACTGTATAAGGGTTGTGTCAATATGAGAAGTGACATGAAAATATGGATGCAGATCAAATGAAGCCTCTTATTCTCAAGAAAATGACGAGTGGTCTGAAATGGAAAAACATAGTAAAGCTAAGATTTTTCTTTCCTTTAAATTAAATTCCTTAAAATCTTATCTTATCTTATCTTATCTT